CACTGTGCTTACCCGGTGGCCACCCTCCTCTCTCCAGGGAGGTGTATGAGCATGTGAGTGAGTTTCTCCTAAACATCTGCTTTGAGATTATTCAATTTTTTGCTCTTCAATACGGAATTGCTACCATCTCGGATTCTCTCAAGACTCAACACAGAAGTCCTTTCACCTTTAATCCCAAACTGCCTAGGTGAGGTGACGACTCTGCATCTGAGGTCTCTCGTAGGGGCTACTCGATGTGGTCTTATGACTAACGAAATTGTCATCTCTTGGAGGTTGAATCAAAGTGCTGTAGCATGGATTGCACAGTTAGTTTGGGTGGAGAATGGGCTTCCTTTGAAACACAGCTATAATTTATCTTTGATGCTTCAAAGCTTTTAGGATTGGTATGTTTAAAGGGCTTGATATTCAGTTGTCAAATTTCCCCACTAATGCATAGGCAGCCACAGCGAGTTTTTGTGTGGACTTATGGAACTGTCTTTTTTTGTACTCCATCTTTCCGTCCTTCCCTTTAGTTGCGTTTCGGTGAACACTACGATCTTGATGAACGATTGAAGGTGTTCAATGTGGCCTTGAGGAAGGATGACATCGAATCGGCAGCGAAAAAGGCTTTTCAGTGTCCTCTCTGTCTCTTCCATGCGGCTTCTCGTTGGGCTCTCACTGAGCACGCTTTTTTCTCGCATTGGGTCAGCACTCATTCCTTCACTCTATTCAAAAAATCATTTTAGACATGCCATCAGCTATCATTGTGTTGAATGTGCGTTTTGTGTGTGTGTGTGTGTGTGTGAGGAATTTGTAGGCGAATCCTCGCTTTGTGGTGGAGTTGTAGGCTCATTTGGTCGCTACCGTATCGAAGTCATTCTAAACTGTCACTGGTGTTAGCAACCACTGAGTGTGTTCGCAAATGGAGCTTTACTTGACAGAATATTTTATTTTATTTGTGTCCTCCTTTTGCATCACTGGGTGACTTATTTTTTGTACTGTTGCGAGGGTGCGACTTAGTTGGTCACGCCACTCGAAGGTAGCACATCGAGTTTTGTGTCCGATGGTTTAAGCGCTTTTGCTGTTGGTACGAAGGTGAGGGTACTGTTGTCTCATGAGTGGAGTACTGCACCTACTGCATTTTAGCCTTGAAGCTACTTGATAAGATTTGTATCGGTGGTGCCCTCTGTTCACTTCAATTGCCAACGTGGTGGTCCAGAGTGACGCGCCTTTGAGGCATACAAAAAGGCGACGTCTACTCTTCACTTTATGGATGTTTTCAGAGTAAATACACAGCTACACCTGCTAGGTATCTACGTTTTCATCCTGTGCCATCAGCATTTTGCAACGCCTGGGTGAAACGACTGTGAAATTTATGCTCCACTTTGGTTACCGCGAACACACTGCTCAACTCATCCATGGGCAAGTTGGTGGACTCCCTCATCGACATCGACAGTTGGCAAGATTTGAAGCATGCTTTGCATTCTCTAATCACCAGTACGTAAAAGCTCACAAATAGTGTAAGTTGTGTGGCACTTGTCACCTTTGAGGGTGCGTGAATAAGGAGAAGTGGATTAGGCGGGTGGATTCACTGTGCTCCGTGTGTGAGCGCTTGATTGTAACTAGCACATATTGTGTCATCAAGTCAAATTGTGAGGCCCTAGATGCCCAACTTGTATTCACAATGCCGCTTGGTGGTTGATTGTCTTAGCAACGTATTGTCAATCCAAGGTGAATTTAAGTGCAGTCAGTTTGCTGTTTGTATTGCAAATCATCTGCCTGAATTGTGCGTTGGCAGCAGCGAAATCCTCTTCGCCTTGTATTGTTTAGGCTTGAAAATTTGTGACTGAATACAACACTGCAATGTAGATGTGGTGAGTTGGAAGACCTTTACAATATTGTCTCTCATTATTCTTTTTTTGGGAGAGGGAGGGAAGAGGGTCGTTCATTAATCTCTTCATGTGCCCAACGCTGGTGTTTGTTTGTGGCTTTTAGTTGCGCCTGTGCTATGTGTGCTGCCATCATATCAGTGAAGCAGGTACGAGGAAGGGCGGCGAACAGAGCATTTGGGAGCACACCTTTTCTTGTCTTAGTCGACGTCATGCAGCCCTGCTTCGTGCCAACACAGATGACGGCGACAGCATCGAGAGCCTCCATGATGGCCCTATTTGGCGACGACATCAACGGGTTCTCCACCCTCAAGAGGACGTGAAAGGAACAGTGCCTCTCCAGCTACCTCCCCATCTTGATGTTGTTGCCACTGCTGCCAACTGCGACGATAGCAGGTTCGCCGATCCTCCCTCAGGTGAGTGCGCTTCTCCATCCTACTGGCGAAAATACGCCCACTTTGTTGCTACTTATTTAGACACATTTCATGCATCAACTGTTCACATTCCATTTTGAAGCTCACTTAATTGATAGGCGCACTTTTGACAATGCTTAAAGTGAATTGAGTGGGCGTGTTTACATGGGAATCGCATGGGTATAATTTTTTTTTTTTATCTCCAAGCTGTTGAGGTGCGATCCTACTGGCGCCTTGCATATGCATTTCTTTTATTCCACTTGTTTCAAACAACAGCAGTGGTTACTACAACGG